GGGAAAATATATTTGTAAATGACATATCCAACAAGGAATACAATTTCTCAGATTCAAAAAGACATATGCACCCCTATGTTTATCACAGCACTATTTCCATAGCCAAGATATGGAAGCCACCTAAGTGTCCATCAGTACATGAGTGGATAAAGAAGATGCGGTACATATACACAATTGAATAGTATTCAGCTGTAAGAAAGAAACAAATCCTACCATTTGCAACATGGATGGAGCTGGAGGATATTGTGCTTGGTGAAATAAGCCAGGTGGAGAAAGACAAGTGTGAAATGATCTCCCTCATTTGTGGAGTATAACAACGAAGCAAAATTGAAGGAACAAAACAGCAGCAGACTCACAGACTCCGAGAAGGGACTAATGGTTATCAAAGGGGAGGGATTGGGGAGGGCGTGTGGGGAGGGAGAGAGAAGGGGATTGAGGGGCATTCTGTTTAGTATACATGTTGTGGGGGGTCACGGGGAAGACAGTGTAGCACAGAGAAGGCAAATAGTGACTCTGGCATCTTACTACGCTGCTGGGCAGGGACTGCATTGGGGTATGGGTAGGGTCTTGATAATATGGGTGAATGTAGTAACAACATTGTTTTTTCATGTGAAACCTTCATAAGAGTGTATATCAATAATACTTAATTTAAAAAATTTAGCATGTAGAGTGTATCAATTCTTAAACTCTGAGTACCTTGGGATGGCCATCAGTCATCGAGAACCTAATATGGATTAATGCCACTCAGTTTGTTTTCTTCCTAAGTCTGAGTTGAGATTAATCATTTTTGGAGGGAGAATGAAACAAAGGAATAAAAGAATTGTGTGGGCCAGGAGGTGGGGTTGGGGAGGCTGGCCGCGTAGCGCAAGTGAAGACTGGGAGAAGGGGCTTCGGAGGCAGAGCAGGAAGTAAATAGGTTGATGCAAGTAGCAATGGTGCCTATATCACAATTTTGTTTAAGGCTGGTACTGCTGGATTCCAGCATAAAGAAAATGGGCTCACTTTTAGATGCAGATGACTCATAAACAAGGTCATTGTAAATTCTCTGGAAGAAATTTGGCCTTGTATTCTGTCTCTTTAACTGAGAATGTTTCTTTCTCTCTGCAACCTCTCTTTTTCTCCCCATTACCTTCCCTCCCCAAATCATTATACTGAACAGAAACATATTCTCCTTTTTTTCACTGGAGCCAGGAGTCATCATTGAAATCCTGATCATTTCAACAGTATAGCCTGTAGTTCAACACACACCATTGGGCCTTCGGGCAACAATGCCAAACACATGTCCTTGTTTAGGGGGAATTAGGAGCCAGAAGCACTCTGAATTGCACTTTTCAAAACCTGCTGTGCTATCGTGCTAACAGAAGGGGAAAATTTCCTTTCAAAGCTGCCATGAAGAGCATCCAGATGTTTTCAATGAGCTAACGTGCACCTGCACCAGAGACTGCTTGGTACAGCAGCTGCCAGGGTCCCTTGGGAAAGCAAGCCACACTTAGCACCATGGCGTGGTGTCCTGGACAACATGGGGCAAAGAAGTTTCAGGGGAAAGGATGCAGGACTTTGTACCAAATGATCTGGATTTGGCTCCTATCTCTCCCTTTTCCTGGCAGGTGGTCTTGGGTCAGCCCCTCCCCCACCCTGAGCTTCATTCTGCTTGTCGGTAGACACTCTATGCAAAGCAGTTGTGCATGGACACCATTATTATCCTCACTTTACAGATAGTAAAACCATATTTCAGAATGCTTAAGAGCTACGGTAGCACAGCTAGGAAGTGGCAAAGCTGATGTTCGAAGCCAGGCCCCTCCAGAGTTGTTGAAAAGACCAAATGTTACAACATGTGAAGGGGCTTTGGAAACCATAATCTAAGACTGCAAATGAAAGTGATTTAAGAGCACAGGATTTCATAGCCAAAGAGAGCCCTACCTGTGGGTGATAGGCAAGTCCTTCACAGCTCCTAGCCTCAGTTTCCACATCTGTAAAGTAGAGATGCTAACAATACCTACCTCCAGGGATGATTATGTGAATGGAATGAAACTGTTCATGTAAAGCACTTGGCACAGTGCCTGGTGCATCGGTTCCTCATGGTGTTAACTGCTGCTGCCTTTGTTAGGAAGATGAGTCAAGTTACTGATTATCAATTAGAGAAATTACTGGGCACAGCCCTTTTCTCATCTTATACATGCAGTCTTCTGTTTACTTCCTATTCCCACTGAAAAGCAAGAGGTAAATCAACTTTTAACAAGAACATTGTTTAGCAAGAATAACACACGTACATAAGCCTCTTTGTTCCTCAATCTGAATTAATGAAATTCAACTCACAGTACTTCAACAAGTAATAGATGGGGCCTCCTCCAGGCAGGTCTTTCCCATCAGCCTTCAGCAGGCGTTCCCAGGGTCCACCCCTCCCACCTTTCATCCCCACCTGCTTTTCATTTTGTTTTTTGTCTGTTTCTTGGCTTTGAACGCTCAACTCCCCTCACGCCTCTGTTCCTCTGGGATGGTGTTCATCCTCTTCCTGTCACTGCTGGGCCCCAGTGCTCCCTTCTCACCTATTTTATGGCACCTGTGGCTCCCACTGTCACTTTTGTCTCAGACCAAACTTCGCATCCCACCCGAAGCTCGTGGAGCTTCAGCCGTGCTGCAGTTGATGGTGGAAAGACACTGGTTCCCTTGGGCGTGGGTTGCTTTGCCATCTGTTGCTGCCTGTTCTTAGCTCTCTTGTGATTCATGCAGGGCACGTACCAAGCAAAAGAGCAACTGAGGCTCAGACTGTGTCTCTCAATGTCAGGCCTCCAGATGTTTCCAAAAGTCAGAAGTTTGATCATGTAGCTAAATTTCCTGTTCCGAGTGAATTAACTTAGCCTCCTCGCATAGCACCACACAGCACAGCCTGTGACTCCTGTGAGTTCAGAGCAGGATCTCTCAGTACAGAGACATCAGAATTGTCTCTAATGAATAAACCTTTATAAGTCAGCAGCCAAAGAGGTCTTTTCAGAGTAGCACGAAAACTGGATCATGTACAGCTTTCATCAAAACTGTAAGCAGGTTTTAGTGATAGGGAAAGATGGTGTAGAATTAATCTCTTTCAGGCCAGCAAAGCATGACTTTCAAGTATCTTTTTCCTTGGTGGCTTCCAAGGTATCTTCAGGTCTTTCTTCTGCCTTCTCTTTCCCAACTCCTATGGCAGAATGGAAATTGCATGACCTGCAGAGGAGCTACCCAGACCTAGGATGGAAGCCCAGCTCAACCGCTGACACATGTACTGAGAAAGTCAGATAACCAAGTTAGGTAGCTCCCCATGACAGAAGTGATAAAACCTAAAACTTAAAACCTACGTCTTTGGAGAGTCAAAGGCATTAACATATGCAACAGACTATCACAAAGTAGAGCTATGTATGTGGTATGTGTGTGCAGGTAGCTATATGAATGATACGTGTCCTTGTGTCTATGTAGGTCTATGTAACGCTGTTGCTTTATGTTCTCATTGTGTTGAGCCATTTGATATAAATATCTTTCTCTCAATGCAAGGATCATTTGTAATTTCATGCTATTCTAGCTGTAATTCTGGACTGAGTTGTCTATTTAAACAAATATTTCTAAAAGCAGTCATCTTGTGCAGATACTATAGGGTTATTGGGTTTCTTTGGATAGTTTGTGTGTGCGTGTCTCCTCATTTTCTAGTTCCTTCCCCCATCACAGTTTGCCTCCTGCAAACCTCTGTCGGAAGTGGTACTGCGGTGGCTGTCCAGCTGGGCGACCTGGTGGAGCTGCTCCAACTCTGATTTCAGAATTTCCATTGACCCCTAACAGCCTCTGTCCTTCAAATATGTGCTTAGCTAATTTAGTACTCTAGCAAATACATCTGAATGCTTATTTCTACAAGAAAAAAGGTTTACTAAGGTACTTTATTTCCCCTAGAAAAAGATCCCCCTGGTGTTTAATGGTTGGGAACTTTGTGCTTGATCTGTCAATGAGTAAATTCTCTGGGAGTAAATAAAGCCCTTTGAAGAAGTGTTAACTCTTTAAGTGTACCACTTTGTTCTAATTTGAGAGTTCTAAAAAAATGTTATTTTCCTTCCTATCCAGAGAAGATTTGAAGTGGTTTAAAAAATACATGCCATACAAATTAAATAAATTGCAAAGATGTCAGATACAGGTAAGAATTCAAAACAAGAGAAAAGAAGAGCGCAGGGCTTTTTATAGTTGTTATTGTCAAATCGTTTGTCTCCAAACTTCCCAGTAACCAAAGCAAAGAGGAAAATTCAGTTTTAAGAGATATGGTTTGATAATATAAATCTAAGCTAACTTTTTCTTAGGTCAAGAGGGAATTATATGTAACCCTTCCCCAGGGAAAGAAATTATAATAAACTCAAAGTGCTAGTTTGACCTGAACTGCGGGACAACTCAAAACCTGGGACAGTTTGTCAGCTGATGTGAGTCTAGGAAAACAGTGTGGCAGGGTTCGTGTAACAAAGCTACAGTGTTTAAATTCTTACGCATGCGGTAAGCATGAAGGTTGTAGAGTAATGTGAGCATGCCTCTGGCCCCTCCATGTAGCAGCATTAAGCAAGTAGTATAATTAAAAACAATACCAAATTCCTGGATGTGCTTGATTTTAGATCATTCAACTTCAGGGGTAAGTTTTATTTAACCTTCAAGAGCCTGCAGAAGTATCTCTGTCCTGTGATGTTCTGAGGCATTTCAGGAGACCCAGTATAACCCACAGCTCATTAAAGGAGGCCTTCTATGTCCACTACATTGATGTTTCTCAGTTATAGCATTTTAATGATTTACTTTCATGTCTGCTCCTCAGCTAGACCATGAGATCTTCAGGGGAGGCTGTCTTATCCATCATTGAATATAGTGCCCAGCATGGAACTTTGTATAGTAAATGCTGAGTTTTACGTAAAAGGAGTGAATGTTAAGTGCTTTGCATATTTTCCCTCATTTAGTCACTCTCTCGGCTCTGTGAGATAGTTATTGTTATTATTTCCATTTTACAGATGAAGAAACCAGGGTCTGAAGAGTGAATTGCCTGTCTTCTGGAAGCAAATGGTAGAAGAGAGAATTGAAGCCCATTCTCTCAACCAGTTCACTAGAATGAAGACCATGTCTTTGTGTTTTGAGGAGGTAAGCCATTCGTGGGCTTGGGAGGTGCTAAATGTGTCAGCCGGCCATGTCCAGGAAAAGAGTAGAGTACAATGTTTATTGGGCTGCTTCAGTTAGAATTTCCTCTCATTATCATGATGCCTGGAATGAGGCCCCTCTCTAACTTATGGCCACTGAACATTACTTTCAGAGTCATGGGACATCTCTAGGGGCAAGTACTTGACAGACCCTCATTTCTTCAATTAAAATTTAGTAATACAGCTGAACAGGTTTGTGGATAGTACTGCATTGACTCATTAGAAGCTACCAGATAAGAAAATAGAGTCAGTAATCTTTGCTTCTAATTTCTCCTAAGTGTTATTCCTTCTCAATTCAAAGTACTATCTACAAGTTTGCATTATTTCACTCTAAAATCAGCAGATTCTTAAGCATCCTGACATCTCTGTGGTTTTCTGGGGGAGAGAATGAAATAATTGCACTAATGTAATGTGTGTATTTACTCTAACATTTTAATAAATAAGCCTCTGGTCTGAAAGGGAAGCCCTTTTGATATGCTTGGCGTATTTCTTTTCCAAGGGCATCCCAAATAGGTTGACTACAAATATTTCTACTAATGAGATGGAATTGAAATAGCACTGCTGTGATTATAGGCATAAATAGTAAATTTCATTAGGTTGCTTGAGTCCCACTATTGATAGCATAGTAAATTTTAGAACAACTGTGGGCGGTAAAGAGATGAAGAGCTTTTTTGGATATAATTAAGTTATTTGAGTGCACTGACTAGCTATCTCAGCATAGCAATTGTAACTCAGTCGCAGGCTACTTTAAGTACATAAAACAATTCAGCACTGTTATAGAGGTTCTTAATAAGCCCAAAAGATTAATAAGTTAAAAAAACAAAACAGACTCTCATTTGAGAGAGGCATGAATATACTGATAAAATTTTCCCTTTACTTCCCTAACATTCACTATAATCTGGTTATAATCTAGGTACTAATACCTGGTGCCTAAAGTGATATTACATAGTACACGCATACAAGAAATGTAATTGAATCAAAACTTAATGGTTTCTCCTAAATATTATGCTGCTTCTTACATAATAATTCCTTTTGATGTAAATCCTGATGAATTCAAATTTTATTTGTGAATGTGTATTGGCATTGAGGGTAGATAGAAGGATTTTTCTAAGTTTGAAATATGCATGGCCTAGGAAGTACATGTAGAGTTTCACTAATGATACATGAGAATGCCAGTTTCATCATCTTTCCACCATTGCTGTTTTGAATAAAGCAGACTGATTATCTTATAGAATATTCTATACTTTGAAATTGTTTGATTATTCATGGTGATTTTGGTAAATACTGCCACATTGTCCTCCATAAAGGATGCAAACATTTTCATACCCACTAAGCATGAGAGGGCTCACTGCCTCACACCCTTCCAAAACAGGATTTTCTCAAATGTTTTGGCTTTTGCTAAGGAAAAAAAAAAAAATTTAATTCAGTGTAGTTTAATGTGCATCCATTTTATGAGGGAATTTTACCATTTATTTTTCTATGTTTAAGAACCAGTCAATTCCTGAAAGAGGTTGAAGATCATTTTAATGTAAAACAAATGTTTGAGATCAATAAGAAGGTAAGATACTCTACATGTTTTTGTAAAACTAAAGACCTTTTAATAATTCAAATAGTCTCATTTTCCCAAATTCTGCAAATAGTAAGCTGTGAGCATTTAGACCCTTTGTGATTCTTGGACCTGCTGTGTCTCTTAAAGCCAGCCTGAAATTCTCAGCTGTTCAGAAATGGCTTTGAGATATTATAATTAGATGTCTGTTTCTATAGGGATATCGACTCTTTATTAGGAAACTTCTTAATTTAAAAAGGGGCTCTTCATTGTCCCTTTGGGCTTAACTTTCATTATTTCTGCAAGCCTTTCTCCAACATCCAGATTTGAAATGGACTATCTGGATTTTGTGCACTTCCCTTAGGCTTCCTTCCTATACTCCAATTCTGCTATCTCCTTCTCTCCCTCCTCAGCTGATATTTTATTTTATAGATTCACAGGATACATGCCAGTTGAGTCTGGTACAATGACATGCTATAGTTAGTAAAAGAGAATTATGGCAAAATTCTATAGGCAAGAGAGGATAAATTGGTGTGGCTGAGAAGGTACCAGCATTAGAGCTAGAAAACCTGCCATTTATTCACCTGGACTTGGGCTGAGTAGTCAACCTCTCAGGGAATTGATTTCCTCATCAGAAAATGAGAATAATACTTAACTCAGAAAACTAGGCAGTTGTGTAGATGTAGGGGAGGAATATTTTCAACTAACATTTGTTAAGCACCTATTATGACCAAGTAGCTTGCTATACTTGATCTCATTAGTCCTCAGAGAAATCCACTAACTTTCCAATTTACTGACTATATTAGTTTCTTATGTCTGCCATAACAAATTACCAAAAATGGGTGACTTAAAACAACAGAAATTTATTCATTCACAGTTCTGGAAAGCAGAAGTCTGAAATCAAAGATGGCAGGGCTGGTTATTTCTTGAGTCTGTGAGAAAATCCATTCCATGTCTTTCTCCTAGCTTCTGGTGGCTTCTAGATGCATCACTCCAAACCCTGCCTGCCTCTTCATGGGACTTCCCCTGTGGTGTGTCTGTTCTTCTCTGTTTCTTATAAGGATGCTTGTCATTGAATTTAGGGCCCACCCTAACTCTAGGATGATGTCATCTCAAAATCCCTGATTTAATTACAACTGCGAAGAACCTATTTCCAAATAAGGTTACATTCACAGGTACCCAGGGTTAGGAACTGGACACATCTTTTGGGGACCAGCATTCAACCCACTACAGTAACCAAGCTGTGAACTGAGTCTAGGTGCTTTCTGATTCTATGGACTCTGCCATGCTCTCGCTCTCTCCCTCTGTGAAACTTTTTTGCGGTTTCTTCTTCTCATTCTAGAATTATATGGTTCCCTGTGCCTCTAATTTATATCAGAAAGTAACGTGGGCACCTGGAATAAATCTCTGAATTCTACTAAATTTTCATAAACTTTGCTCATAAGGGCATCCCTCTTGCCTAAATAATTTTTGAATAGGAAGTTGAGTTATGCACTCTGGAGTTTTTAAATCATCCAAGCCTGTAGCAAAAATAAGAAGATAGTTAGGATTTATTGACTGGTTATTATGTGTCAGGCATGCACTAAGTGCTTCAGATGCATCACATTATTTCATCCTACGAGATAGGGACTGTTACCATCTCTCCTTTACAGAAGAAACTGAGGTTCAGCGAGGTTAAATTGTCTCAAGTCACAGAGCTGCCAAGTGGTGGAGCTGAGATTTGAACCCAGGCAATTTGACACCAAACTCCAAGCTCTTGAAACAATAGAACAGTAACATTACCATTGCAACTCCTGGCACAGAGTCTATAACTGTCTCCCTCCACCCCCCACCTAGCTGGGCCGGTGGCAGCTGTGCTTAATGAACAAAGACTTGTTAATCGTGCAAATTAACTGTGTATTTCCAATAGGAACAGACTGGGCATTCAGATGTCTTTCTGTTTTCCCTCATTTCATTTTTGGATTGACACTGATGAAAGATATTTGGAACTATTGAATGAAAAGTACTTGGAACTTTAGCTCAGTTTCTAGGGGGAAAAAAAACAGGGTATTTCCTTTATGTCATTACCATTCCAATCCCTTTGGTCGGGAGTTTCCCTATGCATTCATTACTCAGAATGGTTGTTTTTGAATTTGTCAGCACATTTTAATGTAATTTTGCTCAAGAAACAGCATTTTTCTTCTATCACAATGGCTGAATTTGCTTTGGTTTGCCATCAATGTAAACAAATTTCTCTTCAACAGGGTAATATAACAAAAAGCCACCTAACTGCAAGAGAGGATATAGTAAATTAGATGTAGTCAATGCCATAATTCTTTCTTTCTGATTAATATTTAAAAATTATCTTTAGCTGACACAAGAAAGATAAATCATTAATATGACCCCAAAGCCTAAACAAAAGCTTATTGCTTTAGAGTATATTAATGCTCATGTCTGTTTTTAAAGAATTGCTTTGTCAGAATATTTTAACTGTTTAAAACATTACACTATCTGCCATTCCATCATCTTAAGTTAAATGGTGAACTTAGCTAGAACTGCTAATTGTCTTCTCTTGCCTGTAGTGCAGTTCATTAATGATGGTCCCGCTGTAGCTTATATGGAAAAGTTTATCTTCTTTTGTATTTTGTTCCTTTTTAATTAACTTTGGATCCTTGAAAAAGAATTTAAGCCTAAAAGTCCTTCTGACGAATTTATTATTTCCTCTTAACAGTGTCATTTGTATTTAAAGGATCAAGATAGCTTGCTTCAACTTCAAAGCCATCTTTGTAAATCATGCACCTTGAGAGGTTCTGGAGCACATGTACTTAGATTCAGGGTTGCAGCTTAATTGCACTAGGATGAACAAGATTAGAGAACAAAACCAAGAGTGCTGGTGAAAAAGGGAAAGATTGACCTTCTCACACTTTTCCTGAACTACTTCCTCTCCTTAGCATTTGATATAGCAGGTCACCAGGACAACAAGAGGCAAGAGACACAGGGTGGAATTGCATTGCAAGTGGCAACTCATGTGTTTGACTTCGAAAAGCCACAAGGAAAGCTAACCGTTACATATAAAGTTTCTGTTTTACTGGAGCACTCTATGGCCCCAAATGAGCACTTGATGATTCTTGCTCAATATACTCTTTTATAGATTTTCTATAAAGATAAAAGGAACAAAATGTCTTTCCTGGGTTTCTGCATGCCATGGATTTACTTGACAACAGTGAATTCAGAGAATTTCACAACATCTCTGTGGGGAAACTGAAGAACAGAGAGCTTGAATGACTTGCTCAAGGTCAATTGGAGATCAGGGAATATTTGGCTCCAAACTTCCTGTGCTAATTGTTAGTTGCTCTCTCCTTGGCTTATGCGTTTGTTAATAATTGGTTTTCCTTAAAGCTGGAGAAAATGAGTCTGAAGATCTTTTGCAAAAGAAAACTAACTTTTTATATTTTTGTTGTCAATAAGCACATTCTGCTATTACTGATTTCAATCCTTTTTTTTTCACTGCTCCAGAACTATCAGCATTGTAGACTACCACCAGAGTGGGGAGACTTAAGTATAGATGAGTGCTACCCTGACCAGTTTTTTCATATTGAACTGATCTTTGCTGCAAGAGGTCACTGTTTTATCCAAATTCTCAGGAATTTAAGTCCCAACATTCAGTGCTCATAATACTCGTGTAACTTGCCCATTGCTGAGTAAGGAGTCTCACATAAAAGATACAATAAAAATTGTTCTTTATTTCCTTTTTTCCTACCTTATCATCTGAGTAAATATCGAATATGGAGGTAGTGAAATAAATTATCTGGTCAATTTCTACTTCATTTTGATTTCCAAAACTATTAATCAATTATATTTTTTACTGTGGTAAAATATGCATAACATAAAATTAAAAATTTTAATCATCTTTAAGTGTACACTACAGTAGCATCAAGTACATTCACATTATTGTACAGCCATCACCACTGTACATCTCCAGAACTTTTTCATTATCCCAAATTGAAATTTTTTTCCATTACATGGTAATTCCCCATTTCCCTTAACCCCTAATCCCTGGTAATCCTATTCTTTTTTTGCCTCTATGAATTTGACTACTCTAGATATTTCATGTAAGTGGCATCATGCAAAGTTTGTCCTTCTGTCTCTGGCTTTTTTCATGTAGCATGTTTTTAAGGTTTGTTCATGTCACAGCATGTGCCAGAATTTCATCTCTTTTTGAAGCTAAATAATATTCCAGTTTATGTAAATACCACATTTTATTTACTGATTCATCTTTTGGTAGGTATCTGGGCTGTTTCTACCTTTTGGCTATTATAAATAATGCTTCTATAAACACTCATGTACAAATATCTATTTGAGTTCCTACTTTCAGTTCTTTTGCATATATACCTACAAGTAGAATCATATGGTAATTCTGCTGGATCATATGCCAATTCTATGTTTGAATTTTGAGGAACTTCCATCCTCTTTTTAATAGCAGCTACACCATTTTAGGTTCCCACCAGCAATGCATGCATGTTTTAATTTCTTCACATTCCCGACAACACTTGTTATTTTAATTTTTTAAAATAACAGTCATTTTAATGGGTGGTTAATTAATTCTATTTTATACAATATTGGCTATATGGACATGTGTCACATTTGCAGTGGATGCATCATCTGCTGAAAAGCTTCTCTAAATATGGGGAATTTCCATGGGAACTCAGAGTTCAAGTCCCAGCTTCCTTTACAGTTAGAATAAAATCATGTGACCTAGACGACACTAATCAAATATACCTATGCAATATTCAAATTTCTAAGTGACTAAGCAAAAGATACAAGCTCTGTTTAACACTTCCATTTTGTTGGTTTGGGTGATGGTAGTGGAATCTGGCTTTTGGAGGCATTAATACTTGCAACAGGTCCAATGCAGTCAAGTTTCTGATGTCTAGTCTGACAGTGGCGTTTCCTCATTAAGCCATTTCTATGGTATGATTCTGAGTGTTGTTTCTGGAAGCTCAGCCTGAAGCCTATTTCTCTAACCAAAAAAGTCCAGTCCAGTCTAATTTAAAACTTCAATTGCATATCCAGTTGAAAGCTCATCTTCACTTGCCGCAAACCACCAGCTAGGCTTTTGCCTGAGGGCCTTGGAGCTGAAAAGAGCATTGTCTACACATACACTCTTCCTTCTTTGTAACTCTAGTCTTGGTTCTTGCAGGGCAGGGGCAGGGAGGATGGATGAAGAAAATAAAGAATGGTCACCTAGCAGATGCTATTATAGTCCCCTCTCAGATAGCATTCCCCTCTCTGTGGTATGTGTCTAAATACCAGCTCTCTAGTGGTGGACTTTTCTGTGTATACAAGTAACCTGAAAGCTATGGAATACAGGCAAGATGCCATTAAAGAATGGTCAAGGGAGATGCAGTAAAAGATGGTTGAAGGCAGCAAGTGGACAAGAATCAAGCCAGTTCACGTTCATAGTCCTCTGAGCTCAGATAGTCTAACATGCTAGTTACTGCTGATGCAGCACGTTGAGGGCCCTGTTCTTGTATGGGGGTCTTGCTTCCAATTCTTCACATCAGTGGGATGCATTTCCTAACCTGGGAGATCCATGCAGACTTGACCTGTACCACTGCCCGCAGCTTTGGTCCATGGTGGAACACCCCATGGCCTCCAGCTTCTAGAGTTCTTGTTTGGTGGGTCTCCCTCTTGGGTGGGGCGCTAGCAGGGCAGCTCAAGCCTGGCTGCTTGTGGACCCACAGGAAACTCACGCAGCTTTGCTCCACCAAGTAGCAAAAGCAGAGACTGCTTCACACTTGCATCTTCTCTGCCCTGTCATCTTTTTCCTTTTCTTTTCCCTCTTGACATACAGGTTTAGGGCACAGATCATCAAGTGCACTGTATAAATAGGCCCAAACTAAGGAACAAGATGTCAATAGAACACTCTAGATCTTCAATAGTGACATTTGGAGCCCTTTTTACATTGGGAGGATTTGGAACAAGGTAGCTTCCCTGTGGGAGAGAAGGGAAAAGCCACAGTACATGTATTTCCCCAGCAACATCCAACTCACAAGTTTCTCCTTCCTCTCCCTAATCCCTCATACAGACTGGAGCTGGAAGGGAGTGTGGGGCAGAGGCTGAGGTGATGTTGGGAGTTGGCCACTTCTTAATAATGCCTGGAAGAATTGCCTGGCCCCAGCTGGTTTCATCTCTCTTTAAAACCTGGGGTGTGCCTATCTCTTCGTCTTTTATTTTTGGGCAATTGCTCACTCATGTCGCACTCAGTAATCCACTACATCCATTCCCTGGATATTTTTCCCGAGTAAAAGCCCATTCATTACCCACAGTCTCTTTTCAGAACTTTAAATATTTGCAGTTCATCCAAAGGCTCTTCTTGTATCTCCAGTGGTTTATCCTTATAGGTGTAATTTTTGTGTCTGGGGATATTATCTAGCCCAGGACACAACTGTAGTGCTGTACACTGATTCCTAAAGGATTCCATATAAGCTCCCACTAATCTTCACTGGAATTATTAGGAACCCTAGAGAAACTGCAGAACAAAGACAAGGAGTAAAGCCTAAAAGTGGCCAGTGACTCAAGGTAGATTATATGTGAAGGAGCAATTATCAGAATGTCAATAAACTTCTCAACAGCATCAACAGAAGGAGGAATTTTTTCTCTTCCTTCTGTATCTACCATACACTTGCATGTTTCCTAGACACTCATCCTTTTAATATAGTAATAGTATAATTTTGTGTAGATCAACCATTGATGTTTACATTATTGTAAGAGTTATATGTATGTAACTTACTTTTAGCCTCTGAAAGTGTTTAGGGTCTAATTTTCCCCATTGTTTTGATATTTCTCAGTTACATGCACTGGTACGCATCTGTTTTCATCAATAATTCTGAGAATTTAGTAAACCTTTCAATCTGGAAACACATATATTTGAATTCAGGAAATTTCCTTAAATCATTCAAAAAAAATTTTTCTCTCCTTCATTTTCTCTGCTCTCTCCTAAAACTCCCATTATTCAGATATTGGCTGTCCAAGACGGTTTCATCCCCAAGACTGTTTCATTCAAAGTTTTATAATATAATCAAGATTTTATATTTTCTATAGAAAACACACATATGGAGATATAAGTTTATATAATGTCTTATGACATAATACAATATTTTATAGATTTTGCTCCTATTTTTTTTCTTTGTTCTATGCTCTGATTTTTGGAGATGGACTCACTTAAATCCTAACCTTTCTACTGAGTGTGTCAGTTCAGCTCTCATGTTCTTAATTTGAAAGAACTCTTTTATGTTCTCTGAATGCTCCTTTTAAAATAGTGTTCTGCCATGTCCTCAAGAAAGAGAAACAAAAGCAAAAATGAACTCATGGGACTACATCAAACTAAAAAGGTTTTGTACAGCAAAGGACATCATCAACAAAACAAAAAGGCATCCTACAGTATGGGAGAATATATTTGTAAATGACATATCTGACAAGGGGTTAACATCCAAAATATATAAAGAACTTTGACACCTCAGCACCCAAAAAGCAAATAACCCGATTAATAAATGGGCAGAGGCTATGAAGAGACAGTTCTCCAAAGAAGAAATTCAGATAGTCAACAGACAAATGAGAAGATGCTCCACATCACTAATCATCAGGGAAATGCAAATTAAAACCACAATGAGATATCACCTCACACCAGTAAGGATGGCCAGCATCGAAAAGACTAAGAACAACAAATGCTGGCGAGGATGCGGAGAAAGGGAAACTCTGCTACACTGCTGGTGGGAATGTAAGCTAGTTCAACCATTGTGGAAAGCAATATGGAGGTTCCTCAAAAAAACTAAAAATAGAAATACCATTTGACCCCGGAATCCCACTCCTTGGAATATACCCAAAGAATACAACTTCTCAGATTCAAAAAGACATATGCATCCCTATGTTTATCGCAGCACTTTTTACAATAGCCAAGATATGAGAGCAACCTAAGTATCCATCAGTAGATGAATGGATAAAAAATATGTGGTACATATACACAATGGAATACTACTCAGCCATAAGAAACAAACAAATCCTACCATTTGCAACAACTGGATGAAGCTGGAGGACATTATGCTCAGTGAAATAAGCCAGGTGGAGAAAGACAAATGGCAAATGATTTCCCTCATTTGTGGAGTATAACAATGAAGCAAAACTGAAGGAACAAAATGGCAGCAGACTCACAGACTCCAAGAATGAACTAGTGGTTACCAAAGGGGAGGGGTGTGGGAGGGCGAGTGGGGAGGGAGGGAGAAGGGGACTGAGGGGTATTATGTTTAGTACGCATGGTGTGGGGGCTCTCAGGGAGAACAGTGTATCACAGAGAAGGGACATAGTGGATCTCTGACAACTTGCTGCACTGATGGACAGTGACTGCATTGGGGTATGGGGACTTGATAATATGGGTACATGTAGTAACCACATTGTTTATTTCATGTGAAACCTTCATAAAAGTGTATATCAAGCATACCTTAATAAAAAAAATTTAAAAATAAATAAAATAAAATAAAATAATAAAATAAAATAGTGTTCTGACCTTGTGTCTTGCCAATGGGTTTCAGTCCCCAGCAAGTTCACTGTGGATTCAGTGAGATGGAAAAAAACGACAGTGGAACGTTCTTGGTGTGAAAATGTTTATACCCAACTTTATTCCCACGGTGGCAGGTCAATTCCTAGAATCTCGTCCACTCAGAGCGAGTCTGCAGGCAGCAAGCCGGTCTCTGCCTCCCACCTCTCTGCCCCTGCAGCCATCTCAGCCTCTGTCCTCGCTGCTGCCATCACTCCAGCCACTGCTTTCCTGCAGCCGTGCCGCCAGTCATCCAGAGCACTGGGCGGAGCTCTTTACCTAGAGTCAGTAACGACGTATTGCCCACATGTGTAGTGAGCAAGGTGACCAGGGCCAGGTGAGAATCCTGGCCACAGGAACCTTCACTTGCTCCACACCTTGTTTCTGGGATGCAGTATCATATTTTATCAGGTTGAGGATATTAATAATTGTTTTATTTTGAAGTTTTCTTTTCCTTTCATAGTTCACTTTTCCTCCAAGTTTTTCTCTGTTTGTAGTTCGTTTGATCTTTGTCTTGTATATTAGAGCATTCTTCAGCTGTCTGGTAATTCTAAGATGTCTACTCACATTTAATTGTGGAGCAAAGAAACTGATTGGAAGGTTGATGTGGCTGGGCTATTTGCTGGGGGAAACGTCAGTATCAGCGTGTTCAGGTACCTGGTTAGACTCCTTAGAGAGGACTCTTCTGTTCTTCTCATTCTTCTGCCTGGAGAAAAAAGGTCTTGTCATAACCATTCTGGAAGCTGAGTGGGTGAACAGAGCTTGAGGAAGGGTCTCAGCTTCCAGTGCCTACGCATTTGCTCATTCACCCTGGTTTCAGTGTGGTGCTCCTGTTTGTGACCCAGTCTGTGCTCTCCAAGTCCAGCCTACCTCTATCTTGCCCTTTCCAGAGAGCAAACATCCATTCTTTTTCTAGGGTAGTGTGATGGTTAGTTTTCTGCATAAACTTGACCAGCTAAGGGAGGCCCAGAGAGCTGGTAATATATTACTTCTGGGTGTATCTCTGGGGGCGTCTCCAGAAGAGATTAACATCTGAATCAGTAAAGTAGATTGCCCTCACCAATGTAGGTGGACATCATCCAAGCTGTTGAGGACCTGAATAGAACAAAACGGTGGAAGAAGGGTGAATTTACTCTGCTTGAACTGAGACCTCCGGCTTCTCCTGCCCTCAGGCAACAGCACTCATGGTTCTCAGGCCTTTGAACTTGGAGCAGGCCTGACACCATTTGCTGCCCTGGTTATCAGGCCTTCAGGTTTGTGCTGGAGCTATATTACTGGCTTTCCTGGGCCTCCAGCTACAGATGGCAAATGGTGGAATGTCTCAGCCTCCATAATCATGTGAACCAACCCCTCATAATAAATCTATTTATATGTGCATATCCTATCATATATATTTATATATACTTCCGGAGAACCCTGACTAATACAGGTGGTAAGCACAAGTCATCTAATAGCATGGAATATAGAGGGAGTGTATGGAGCTGGTGCTTCTCAAAGAGCTTTTCTAATCATCCTTATTTTAAGCCACGCTCTTCACCCCCATGTCCAATCTTACCTCATATCACCATCACCTGGACCCTTGAAGATGTTGTGGAATAAACCGAGCCACCTTCAAATTTGACCTTCTTTGATCTACTTGGTCAGTTTTTATTTACTGGTCTCTCTAGCTCTGAAAGTTTGTGGTTGTCTCTTATCCCATTCTCCAAATCCTTAAGAGTTCATACATTTCTAAATAATGACTGTTCATTGTAGTTTTTAATTGGCTTCTGGGGAAGCAAGGATGACTGTATTCAATCTATCATCTTCACCCAGGATATTAATCTAGAAGCCCACCTCCAACTGAACCATTTTTTTAAACTGATATTTTTTAAAGACTTGGAGAATTGACATCTCATAGATCTATGCTGAAAAAAAAGTTACTAAAGGACACATTCCAAAAATAAGGAAACTGAGCCTTAGAGGGAAGGGTGGAATGCAGGAATCAATAGATTCGGGAACCTGTGGGGACCCAGATGGATAACACAAACAAGGCAACTGTTCCCTTCTGGAAGAATGTAGTGATGTCTTTGGCCTAGTATGGAAACTTAGCAGAGAGGTAGAAGGCAGCCCCTGCTGCAAGACGTTTCCACAGCTAGAGTGAAAGAAGCCATTTCAGTCCTATTACCTTGGTTTGGAATGAAGCCTAGAAGTGAGGGAACCTGTTTCCCCACATAACATTCCTGACCCCCACCACCATGAGATAAATTCTGTGAGTCCCTTGAGTTGGCTATTCACAAGTCTAATTCAAGCCTGCTGTGGGTGAGTGAATTAATAAACTTACCCATAATAAGGAAGATGTGGTATATATAATAGAATATTATTCAGCCATAGAAATAACAAAATCTTGGTATTTGGGACAACACAGATAGAACTGGACGGTTTATGCTAAATGAAATAAGTCAGAGAAAGACAAATACCATATAATTTCATATATATGGAATCTAAGAAAGAAAAGCACAAACAAAGAAAACCGAAGTAGACTCATAAACAGAGAACAAACTAGTGGTTGGTGGTTGTCATAGATGAGGGGACCAGAGGAATGAGCAAAGTGGTGAAGGGGATCAAGAGGTACAAATTTCCAATTATAAAATAAATAAGCTGCAGGGATGAAAAGCACAGCATAAGGAATATAGTAAAAGATACTGTAATAACTTTGTATGGTGACCAATAGTAACTACACTTACTGCCCTTGAGCATTTCATAATGTATATAATTGTTGAATCACAAAAAAATTTGTAAAGCTTTCCCATAACACAATAAATAAAAATAAGTGTATAAAGTTATAAAATTCATGATGAGAAAAGCAACCTTTTTAGTTTGGAAGGAGTTTTGTAGGCTTCCACAGTTTGGAAACAAGATGTCTCACTTAAAAATTGCTTTCTGCCTTTTTTTTCAGAAGACACTTTTATGAGACACAGACAGATTTACCCCTTGGGCTGTATCCAGGGACCAAGATCATTCCCTTCAGCCTCTAGAAACATAATCTGGTAAAAAGCTTCCTCATATATTCCACTCCATCTTGTTTGCTCTACCTCAAGTACCACCAAATAAGGATTCTTATTTTAATTCTGAAACAATTTGCTACATAACTATTTTTAATGTCCTAGTGGTTGGTACTTATAATGGTATCCACCCAGTAGTTTAGATTTTTCTTCTACTCTGGTAAAATATCAAACCTACGGTCTAACAATTATCCAATTTACATTTCTAGTTTCTGCACCCTCCCACCTAAACACAGGATACTTTATGAAAAGCTATTTTGATGGATTGACTCCACCACCAATTTCAACCAGTAGCCTGGACTTGTGAAAAACATGAATTGATAGAAAATTAGTATTTATATAGTGCTTACAGAGCATCAGCCACTCTTTTGACTACTCAAACAATATAAACTAAGGCTCATTACCACCCTGTGAGATAGGCACTATTATTCTCATTATATAAAAGAGGAAACTGAGGCACAGTGAGGCTCGACAATGTGCTCTAGCTTCCAAGACAGTAGGTGGCAGAGCTAGAAATTGAACCCCTCTAGTCTGGCTCCAGAATCCATGGTCTCAGTGAGAAAATATATTGCCCGTTCTGACATAAGACTCTTTTACTCTTTTTACACAGCTTTTTTTTTCTATTAACAGTCATAGTACTTAATTTTGTTGATGATGGAAGGATTAAGCCAGTGCATTCTTAACCCTGGTTTAGTAGAATCACTATGGAGAGTTTTTAGGAAATATCAGTGCTTTGCTTCTATCCCAGAAATGGTGATTTAGTTGGTCTGATAGGGTCCAACCTTTGTATTAAAAAGAAACCACCCCGCAGATGGTTCTAACGTGCAGCTGTTAACTGTGATTCACCAGATTAGCTCACTGAGACATCTTGGCAATGCTTGCTGGTAGCATGTCTTCATTCACATCAATTACCTGGGCCTCCGATACTTGGAAAATTTGAGAGAATTTGTGTCATTTAACATCTTTAAATCCCCAGTGTTTTAGGCCTTTGCATTTCAAGCTTCCAGATAAGTGGTAATAGCATGAACTGGCTTCTTTTCAACAATGTGTCTTTGTACCCCATACATACCTGTGTGCTTTGCATGCACACATGTACACCTCTCCTGTGCCTGTTCAGAGCTGACATTTACTGTTCCCCTCCCAGTTGGTATCCATTCTGTCTCTCAGTACCTAGGCCTTCCTGGTTGTGAATATCACACTGTTCCTGTTCAATTTAGATCAAGTCATATAATTTAATTAACACATTAATAATGTTGAGGTCTCACTGCCCTTTGGGAGAATAACTTCTGGTTGCAGAATGAATTATTCTTCCTCTTCTTTCCCAGGTGCCAGCAGTCAAACAAACTTGCAGAGGAGAAAGCACAACACCTGTGTTTAGCCCGAGTTGACCATGGGCCTCCCCAGTCTCTGGATCCCCCTTAACCATAAGTAAAATCCCAATTCCTTAAGGTCACTCAGCTCCAGCAGGTAAGGTGGAGCCTTAACCCCAGGACTGGGGTGATGGTTCAGGGATAAGCATATATTATGCAAACCAGCCTGTGACTGCAGCTCCGCCACATGCACCAAACCCGGGATGCCAAAGGGCAGGAGGTCTGCAGCCAAGTGGGACATGACACTGCTCACCTGCTCTTTTTATTGCTGCCATAGAGCTCTTGGTGGCCAGTGTTTGGTAGAGATAGGGGAACAGATCTTTCTGGATGCCGAACAGCTCAGCCTTTCTCCTGGATCCAGACTGGAGTCTGTGGGCCTGGGCTGGAACAGGTGCAGTGGCAGGATGCAGGCTGTTTCACCATCTGTTTCACTCCAACGCTCAAGTCCTGGTGCCTCTTCCAGAGGCTGAGCTCTCTCCCTGAAGCCTCCTCCACCACTCATGAAAGTGCTTCTGAGAGCTTCCCTCACCTCCCAATTTGCCTAGAGTGCTGCTCTGCCCCCAGAAAGCCTCCTCTAACTTTCTGACCACACTGTTGCCCCTCCTCTGATCAGCTCTGAGCTCAGAGGACGTCTGTGTAGCTCATTCATTCCCAGAAATAACCCCTAGGTGACCTACAGTTTAGATTTAGTTGTTTTTCTTCTAATCTACAACCTAAGCAGACCTCCAGGCTGTGTGTACTAACAAGGGTATGCTATTCCTTAGCCTCTCCTACAACAAGCATTTATTGAGCACCTACAGCTAGCTCACGGGTGCACAGGAGTAGACACAAAGACAAAGCAGACATAGTCTCTGCCCTTGACACTGCAGCTTCCACTGAAGATAACAGAGACGTAAACAAATCATTGCAATACAACATAATACATATTGCAGCTTAGTACAGCCAAGCACAGACCCGCAGGAGGGGACACTTGAACTGGATCTTGAGAAATGAGTAAGAGTGTGTTAATTTCCTTGGGCTGCACACATAGCACCACAAGCTTGGTGGCTTAAACAACAGGACTTTCAGTTCTGGAGACAAGAAATCCAAAATCAAGATGTCAGCAAGGATGGTTCTCCCAAGGGCTTTGAAAGAGAATCAGTTCCATGCCTCCAACCTAGCTTTATGGTTTGCTGGCCATCTGATGCATCCTATGGCTTGTAGAAGGACTACCCTGATCTCTGCCTTCATCTTGTGTGTTTGTGTCCAAATTTTCCCTTTTTGTAAAGCCACTAGTCATATTGCATTAGGTGCCCACTTAAGGGTGACCTCATCTTAACTAATTACCATCACAATGACCCTGTTTCCCAATAAAGTCATCTTTTAAGATGCTGGGGGCTAGGACTTGAACATATAAATTTGGGTGTGGGGGTGGGGACAGAAATCAACCCATAATAAGGAGTTTACCAGCTGGAGAAGGGGAGGAAGGCATTTTGATTTAGAATGGAAAGAAGAGAATGAAAGAACGTAAGGAGTGGACAAAAGGATGGGCATGGAAAGGCAAGTGGCCAGCGGGGGAGGGGGACGGATGGATGCAGGACAGAGAGATCAGTTCGACTCTGATCACAGAAGGCTTTTTCTGCTGTTCTTGGGGTATGAATGCCTTCCTGGGGCAGAGAGAAACTCAACTAGGGGTAGAGGAGGGAGGTGGGGGATCTGAGAACAGGACATTTCAGAGTGTCTGCTCCAACCTTTCCTGCAGTGGAAGTAGAGAGAGGTCAAGAGGGCTTTGACGGTAACTAGAGTTGGGTTCACATCCTGGCCCTGTACCCTTGGGCAAGTCACTTAAAATCTTCCATCCTAGTTTCTTCTCCTATAAATTGACCTTGAAACCATCTGGCACATCATTAACAAAAGGTGGAAGCGTCATCACTGTGATGAATCAGCCTGGGGAACTTTGACTTAAAAAGAGTATTGAAAGGTTGCAATCACACCATAGCAAAGGACATCTGACTCCAAGTGAGAATTCAGAGTAAACTGATGGAGAAAAGATTAATGATTGAAAGTATCTATTACAGTATTTATTTCCTTTTAAATCCTCACTCTAAAAGAAGTATCTTCTTTCCCAGTTCAGATCACTTGAGTATGGTAGTTTGAACAGTGGGGCATGCATGTATTTTGTAATAAAAGAAGATTTATTGAAGAACTGGTTAACCTTGGGTCTCAGTCCCTCACAGTGGATGATTCAGACCCACAGGGACACATGACTGTCCCTCAGGGGTAAGAGGCAGCTGGTGCTGGACAGGAACCCAGGGACACCACCGGCCAGGGCAGAGCCCCCAGACACCTCCTGCTGGAATGCAGGGTCACTGGCAGGACAAGCCACAGAGCCTGGAATTTTTTTACCAGCTCATTTTCAACCTGATAGCGTGCAATGAGTAGAGGCATGTCGGTGTGTGAGTGGAGAGCGAGAGAGAACATGAGAGCAACATAGCACAACACCAACTGTGGCATGAGAGTGAGGGGCAGATGCGAGCTCCAGACAGAGTGCATTGCAGAGACCAGAGAGAGCCAGACAGCTAGACAGAGCCAGAGACAGAGAGACAAAGAACAATGGAGACAGGGAGAGCCAGACAAAAATCCAGAGCAGAGATAGTATTTGGGCATAGGTCCAGGAGACCCAGGACACAAGAGAGGGGGAAAAAGAGCTACATAGCTTTAAAACATAATATATAATAGAAAACAACCAAAGTATAATTACTATAGAATATGAATAGCCTTTCGTTTGTGCAGGACTTAGAGTATACAAAGCCCTTTCCACGTGCCCAAGTACCGGCCAGTGAGGAGGCAAGCTAATGACTTCTCACCCTGTCCCTGCCACTCAGAGACATGTGACCTTGGCTAAGAGTCACTTGGACTCTCCCTGGCTCAGTTTTCTCTTCTATAGAATGGCACCGGTCACCTGTACCTGGCTACCCCCTCTGGAAGGGTGTGATGAGGCATCCCCTTCTCCATCTCCATCGTTCGGTCTTACTGCTGCAAACGGGAGTGCAAGAACTGAATTTGGCCTCCCACCAGTTTTATTCTATGCCTACAGGGACTTAAATGTATTCTGTTTTTGGTCATGGCCAGCATTTGAAAATAAGGAGTTATTAATATATATCTAGACATTGGGCTTCTTAACAAAAGTGGGCAGAATGGGCATTGCTGGTCCCCTACCCCACCATGGCGGCTCTCCCTCAAGCTGCTGCCCCTGACGCCCTTACCTGGGCGTGCTCGCTGTGGTTCACCACAGACCCCATCACTCCCTATTGTGTCTGCCTTGCTTCATTCATTTATGTTACTCTCATGGCCCGTGGAGTTTTTACATTTGAAGCTTTGTGGTCTGTCTCATCAGTGTGATTTAGTGACATGATCTTTTCAGGGGTCAATCTCTTGTCTCTGAGGCAGAGAATGGGTCTTGTCCACTACTGAATTACCAGCCCTGAGCACAGTGCCTGGCACATAGTAGGTCCTCAGGAAATGTTTGCTGAACTTACCATTATATGGCACTGCGTGAGAATGACAAGAAAGGAGAGAGCGGGCTGAATGGGAAGAGGGTGGGGAAGGCAGCCCGGGAGCTCGGCCCAGCGTGGGCCATGCGGGCAAGGGTACCTCCTAAGCCCTGGGTTCTGCATCGCTCCCCACAGATGCGCTTGTCCCCTCCAGTGCCTCACCTGGCGATGAGAAGAAACTGGCCAGAGGGTGGTACAGGCTCCTGCAAGTGGCACCAGTGTTTCACCTTCCTCTCTTTTGCCCAGGAAGTTAGAAGCAAGAAGCCCAGAAAGATCTCCAGGGGCAACAGCAAGCAGGACCCATGGCCAAGGGCCACTGGGGGGCAGCGGGGATGACCCGCCAGGCTCTGTGGGAGGCGCCGTGTGGGTGCCCACAGCGCCAGCAGGTCACTCTGCCCACAGCGTGTGGTGGCAGCCCTCGTCAGGAGAGAAAATGTGTCCATCTCCATGTTGTCTGTTCCTTCTCTTCTGTCTCCTGTTAGGACATTTATCGGTGCTGTAGGGTCCCCCTCATAACCCAGGATGATCTTATCTCAGAATCCCTAACTGAGTTACATTTGCATAGCTCCTTTTCCGAATAAGGTTGCACTTACAAGTTCTGGGATTAAACATATCTGCCTGGGGGCAACTATTCCTCCCAGTACAATACCCAATGTTTAGAGTGCTTTCTATAAATCTGAACTGTTAGTGTATTATTTAATCATTTGATTCAGTTAAACATCAGAGTAGCGATTCATGGGTAGTTCCTGCCTTGGGGCCTGGTGCTATTTTCCCAAGTGATGGGGCAGTGTGTGACCATGTGACCCCATGAGCATTAACCAAAGGAAGGGGGTTGACACACACATTTTCTAGATTTTCTGGATTCCCTGCTTGGCCCTCACCAATATCCCTTCGCTTCTTTGCAAAACGTGTGGTGAATGCTGATAGGTCTTCATGATAAATGTTATTTATTGTTATTAGCTATTAACTGAGGCAAAGCATACAAACACACCAACACTAAACAAATTTTAGATCATTTGAGTTACTGTTTATAGAACACCCATGAGAATTTGTCCAACTTATTTTCGAAGGATCCAGGAGCTTTTTTCTTACTAGAGAGAAGGTCATTAAATTTTCTAATACTGAAGGTGACATCTGAGTTGAGACCTGGAGGCAAGGTGGGTATGAGTTGTGTGGCTCTCCCGGGAAGAGCAATCCAAGCAGAAGAAGCAGCCAGTGCAAAGTCCTGAGAGAACAGCTAGATTGTGTCTGGGGACCAGCTGTGGTCCATGTGGCTGGAGATGAGTTGCAGGGCAAATGAGGACAGAAATACAAGGATGGGGGAAGGTCATGTAGGCCTTAACAGGTCTTTGTGAAGACACCGTATTTTGCTTGATGTTTTTTGGAAATCAGGATACTGGAGCCCAGGAATTGCATGGCTCAATTTTTATATTAAAAGGATGTTCCTGAATAACTGATAAGAATGAAGTAGAGACACACACGGCAGAAGAGGCAGGGAGACCGCCGTGAGGAGGCTGCTGCAGTACTCCTGGCTAGCAACGAGGGCGATTTAGACCAGGGCAGTCACCAAGAGTAAGGAGCATGGGTAGTACCTGCTGTATTTTGAATCCTCAAGTGCCAGAATTGGTAATATAATAATAATAAGAGAAGAGTCATGATAACTCTAAACGTTTTTGTCCTGAGGCAACTGGAGGAGAAAGATTCCTGCAAGTGAGATGGAGAGGATGCAGGGGAGAGGCAGGTATGGGAAGGAATAGAGGTGTTCATGTTGGGACCTGTGAAGTATGAGATAGCTCGTAAGCATCCAAGTGAAAATGTTGAGGTGGCAGTGAGACAGAAGAGTCTGGCGTTAGTGAGAAGTCTGGGCTAGAAATATGAATTTGGGAGTCATCAGGCGATAGTTGCTGTTTCAACCTATGAGACTAGATGAATCCCTGAGGGTGTGAGTAGCGACAGAAACAGGAGGTACAAGGACCGAACTTGGAGGCACTCCAGCGTTCAGGGGTCAGAGAGACAAATATAAACAGCAGAGGAGACTGAGAAGGAGATGCTGGTGAAGGACAAGGAAAACCGGGAGCATCTGGAAATCAGGTGAAGACATGTGAACAGGGTTTTGATGGTGGAACAGGAGTTTATTAGGGCAGTGATCCACAAAGCATGGTCCTAGACTAGCAGCATCAGCATCTGGAAGCTCCCTAGGAATGTGCAGAATCTCAGGCCCCAACCTACATCACTGGATCAGACACTTGGATGGTAGGGCTTTCTAAGGGATTCTGATGCACCCTCAAGTTTGGGAACCACTGACCTAGGCATAAATTCGCCTGCACAAAATTGTGAAGAGCATTAAGAAGGAAACACCTCCACCAACTCTTTCTTTCCTGGAAGAGAGTATTTTCACAAATTTACTTAATGCTCAAAAAAACAATTTGGACGTCATATCTCATCCAAAAAAACAAATGGGTGCCTCATAGTAATTCCCTCCCTGATACCCCCACCCCACCCCCCACATCCCAATTTAGAATCCTTCTACTAATTTATCATGGCTCTTTGGAGAAGAGGAATGCCCCCATTTCACCGGACAGAGGGAATGCTGAGCACCAGGCATGCCAGACATTCCACTGCTAAAAAAAGGGGAGTGGTATTCTAGGTTAGCTATTACTGGGCCATAAACACTGAAACTCCTGAGATATAATGCTTATTCATGCAACGGTTTCCAAAAGTTCTTCTAGGTTTTTCTAGGAGAATTCCACCACTTCCACTCTGGGGAGAAGTTAAAAATTAGGGCTAGCCCTGAAGGACTGGCATGCCAGATGAAGGGAGACTATCCCCAGAAATAAGCTGGTTCCCACAGCGGATGGGCGGGGCGGGGCGCCTCCAGTCCCAACCCAGCGGAGGCGCTCCTGGAAGCCTGCCCCCTCCAGCTGTCTGCAAGGGGTCTGGTCCCAAGCTTTAAAACCCCGGGCCCGGGCACTGCATCCCGACCTCTCCTCTCCCAGCCGCAGCCGTATCCCGACCTCTCCTCTCCGGGCCAGTCCTGGCTGGCTTTTCAAAAGCGTGCAATTGTCTCCTCCCGCCCAGCCCCATCCTCGCCCAGGACCAGCTGTGCGGCGGCAGCTTCACTTAGGACTCGATTTGATCCGTGGCTGCAGCAGAACGCGCGCTTGCTCACCATTTAAGCACCTTTCAGCTTTCTGCTCAGCTCCCGGAGCCGCTTTGCAAAGTCGGGCAGCTCCAAGTGCACGCTTTGCCTCTGGACTTCTCCCGCCCGCGTCCCCAGCACCCCCGCCTCCTACGCTCCCTTCCACCAGGAGCAGCGCGTCCCAGCGGGCTGGCAGCTTGCACCCTTTTCCGGTCCTCCTCCCCAAAGCGTGACCATGCTGGTAAGAAGCGTCCTCCTGGCGGTGCAAGGTAAGGCCAAGACCCCTGGGACCCCTGGGGAGCGCTCTCCTGACCCGCTCCCGCTCCCTGCCCGGGTGGCCCGCCTCGCCGTCCTGGCCTGGGGCCATCTGAGGGCTCCTCCAGAACCTCCTCAGCCGCTAACTCCCTCCCCAAGCCTCGTGTGCGGTGGCGATGGGGGTGCGTGTAGGGAGGGTCTGGCAGTGGAAGCTCCGGTGAGAGGGGGGCGCAGGGAACAGTAGTGCACACGTCTCCCGCCCCCTCCGCGCTCCTTCCCCCCCTCTTTCCCCAGGTAGTCCCCCACGGGAGCCCCGAGTTGGTGCAGGAACTCCCATGCCCGAGCCCAAACTGAAACTTGCTTTGTGCCTGCAGCCGTGCAGCTTGTGGGTGCCCTGGACCTACCCGATGGGTCCTGCACCTTTGAAGAGAGCACCTGTGGATTTGACTCGGTGTTCGAGTTCCTGCCCTGGATTTTAAATGAGGAAGGTAAGGAAGGGCTCAGCCTACAGGCCAGAGGTGAACTTTCCTCCTTGCTGTTGGCTCTTTCAAGTGGGTAATGTTATCTTGGGGTAAATCCCTTCCGGAGGAAAAGTGTGAGTCATGCAGCCTCCTTCCAACCTTCAGCTGTGCTGTGCGGGTGCCCTGGAAAGAGATGGGGGTGGGGGCGCCCTTTGTTTACCTGGCCTTTGGGTAGAATCTCTGAGATTTTGTCCCTCCCCCTCAGCACTCCTCAATGACAGGGAGAAAGGGGGCCCAGTTAATGATTGTCACCCACCAGCTATGTGTCTCCTGCTCCTCAGCCACTCTGGTCCTTAGTAGACACTTCTGTGAACTGGGAAAGTGGGATGGGGCTCTTCCCACCCTGCAGGCATGGTTCTGTAGCTCTGGGATGAGACCTCAGTGCTAAGTAAGACCTGTGGGCCTGGCAGTGTTTTGTGGCATGACTTCATCCTCATACTACTGTTGTATTTACAATCCAGTACTTGGCAAAAAAAAGTCCGTGACCATGTGCCTGAGGTCACAGCTGGCCAGCGATGGTCACTCTCACCACTACATATGGTTTGGGTTCTGGTGGCCAATTTTAAATGCAGGTCTTCAGATACCTCTTCTTACCCTTCATTTATATGGGAAAGAGTCAGTAGTTCTCCAGGGCCCACCAGCAAGTGCTGGGCATTCCCTCCTTCCTCTCTCTCTCCCCTGTGTCAGCCCATTGAGAAGCATGATGCCACAAGCCATTCAGACTAGAAAATAGCCTCCTTATAAAACTGTGGTGCATAAAGGCGATCAGCTAGTCTTCCCCTCGTTGTTGTCCGTAAGCCCCAAATCATCCAAATCATCCAAATCATCCAAGCTGGCTCCCTGGGGGAGGGTAGAGCCCAGAACCCCTGGGTAGCAGGTGTGAACTGTCATCACAGCTTATTAAGTGCCAGGCTTCTGTTTGGGGCTTTGCATACATTAGCTTCTCTGATGGTCAGAGGAGGGAATCTCAGAATATTCAAATGGCTGGCCCATGTCACATAGGGTCAGTCAGTTGGCCAGCCCTGTGCTGTCCTGTTAGGGGAGGAAACAGGAGGGAACCAGTTCAGTGGTAAACTTTATTTATTGCCAATAATTGCCAAGTCTTGACTGCAGTTTACTTAGGGGTAGCTGAGAGAAAGCAGTTCCTGGTTTATTATCTGAGAGCTTTCTGCCTTGCCGGTGGATGGCCTGAGGAGAGTCTCTTTCATCTCACCACCCCACCCTTTGTCCTGTTCCTATTGTGTATGAAGCATTTTGAGAGATGGCCTGACAGGTCTAGGGACTGGTTTTGAAGATTCTTCTTCTCCAGCGCTGGACTTCTCAGAGGTTAGCTGCATTGCAGTCACCTGGTGGGCATGTTAAGACACAAATTGCTGGGCCCCACCCCCTGGGTCTCAGATTCAGTGGTTCTGGAGTGGGGCCGTCCTAACAGGTTCCCAAGCACAATTGCTGCTGCTCTGGAGACCAACTTTGACAAACACTGACCTTCAGAACGTGTGTTCGTAGATGTGCACACACATGCCCTGAGCTGGTGGCCCCTAGTAGGGTTGAGACCAGCGTACAAGGGCTACTTGCATGACCCTGAGAGCAAAAACCTCCTGTGTTCTAAACACCTCTCTTGCCTCACCCCAGTCCTGGCCCTGAGGAAGGGAAATCAACATCACCCCTTAAATCCAGGAGCCTCAGTCTCTGAGCACACACCACTGGCCCTCCATCAGGACGGTCGGCCCCTCACAGCCTGCTCCTGGGTCAGTGGACATGCCCCAGCCTGCTGAGCTCAACTGCCTCCCTGACCCACAGGAAGTGCTCTCTGCAGGGCTGGCGGTTAAAAAGTGCCCCTTCAGGGGACACAGGAAGATGCTTATGGGAAAAGGTGATTATGGTTTAACAGTATAATGAAAGCATTGTTGCTTTCTATTTTGCTTTCTTTCTGAACTTCTAACAGTTACTGCTTGCTGGCTCAGGACTGGGACTACTGGCTTGGCTGGGGAAAGTTAATTCATTCTCCTCTGGGCACCCACAGAGCAGGCAGGTCAGGCTTCTGTCATTAGAAATCAAGTTTTTCAAAGGCCAGAGCTTGGACCTAACAGTTCACTCTAGAGGGGCAGTGAAGTAGGTGTGTGTCAATTGCTGCGGTTGCCTGCTGAGAAGCCATCACTGAGAATTTCTGTTATAAACCCATTTCTGGGTTGATAAATTAAAGATAATAAAATTGTCCCAGGCTGAAATTTGGTAAGCTGTCCACAAGCCTCTGCAAATTTACTTTATCTTCCTGCAGAAACCCTTTGAAACTGGTTTCAATCACCTGTGTGTGTTGGATCCACTGTAGAATGTTGTATGTTTCAGAGACTTCTGCCCACAGGTATTTGGAACACAAATGGCCCTTTGTATATGTGGTCAGTAGGTTAATTTACAGTGGAGAGAACAAAGCTAAAGACTGGTGGCAGAGTTAAATGGGGAAACGAATCTGCAAATTAGAATTTCATCACAGGAAGATCAAATCTGGGAGTGGTTGCATGAATCTGCTTATGTCTCAAAATATCTCCCCAGCTGCCCTAAACGGTGTGTGAGGTCTACTGATTTTGGGTTTTTTTAGAGTATTAAATCTCTAAGAATCTCCAGTTACAGTTCCACTGTCCCTAGTCCATGGCCGTTTTGAAATTTACTTAATCTCCCATGGGTGCAGAATGGGTGAGGTGGGAGCTGGTGTTTCCTTGGTTGTGCGATGGAGGCACCCCAGGGGTAGCGGGGCGGCACTAATGCAGGTGACTGAGCACTGCAACCAGCCTCGTCTACTTTCTGGTTTTGCTAATGGTTGCCCTGTTTTCTTGATTCCCCTCAACACTTTTTGTAGGATATTTTTATTTTCCCTAACTTATCGAGAGAAGTGAGATTATGTTAGATTCAAATTGGAACTCACATCTAAATTTTAGGTTCAAATTAAATCCAAGAAAGAAGAGATTCATTTTATCCTATAAAACTCTTCTTTATCAAAGAATATTGGAACCCCTTTGAACAATAGTCCTCTGCTGAAATGGAGTTTGTTGTTTCCATCTCCCCAGTGCCAGCTGTGGGGGCAGAAGCCCTTTGGCTGAGGATTATTGGAGGTTATAAACTTGACCTCATGCCGGAAGAGTTATAATTCAAATTAGTCACTGGGTAGATGTTTTGGACACCCTGGCTTAGCACCTTTAACCTAACTATGAAAAAGCCATTGGAGGGGTGAGAAACAGAGGTGGGGTAAAAACCCAATCTACGTACTGCTCCTTAATTGGAAGTTTGGAATTCTAAGCCCCTTGGGGGAGGAAGGTAGATACACATCAAGTTATGTGTCAGGTTAAAAGAAGGTAAGAAAAGCAAATTCAAAGCACTTGCAGTAGGGAATGCATTTTTTTCTACAACAATGAGGGTCAGAGCTTATGAAATTGCCTAATACAGGAAAAATTTGGATGGCATTTGTACCTCAGAGCAAATGATGGTATCTGAGGCAGGGAGGACAGTCCCAGGTTTGGCATACACAGGGGTGGGGAGGGCGTGGTGGAGTGTTGAAATCCCATCCTAAGTACATGCACATGGTGTTCTGACACCCTTTCTCCACCCAGACCCATTCCTTCTCTCTTAAGGACACTTTAGGTTACTTGACTATCTGAGTTTCAGTTCTGCATTCAGTCATGCGCCAATTATTAACAGTGGTAAATCCCGCCTGTTATGTCAGCCAGAGCCAAAGTCTGTCTAGGGGTCTTTCTTGGGAGAGGAGCTCCAGTCCTCGCTTCCTATGGACTAGTCTTTTCCCTACTCTGGGGGCTGGCTCAGCATCCCACCTGAACACCACATGATCATAAGGCAGTTCTGACCCATCTGGGCCTGCACGAACCCCCATCGCCTCTGCTCAGTGGTCCCTGGTGCCCTCTCAGCAAAAACACAGCCCCCATGTGGTGTTTAGGCTGGAGAGCAGCACAAGTCTAGGGGGGGCGCCTGGATGTCTCTCAGAGGGATACTCACCCCAGAAAGTTGTTCCTACGTATCTCGTGGCATTCCCTCAGGCACTGTGGCTATTGCTGCTGTCGGGTTGAGCATGGCTGTTGTGTGCTGTGTCTGAGCCTGGCTTTGGCTTGTGCTCTGGCTCTGCCAGGGATTCTAGATCCTGGAGATGGGCCTTAGAGCCCTGGGACAAACTCCTCATTTTACGGGGCCCCAGACCAGCTACCAGTCATGGTCATGGACCAAGGCAGGGGCAGCCCTGGGCTGGGCCTCATTTCCTCAGCTCTCTACCTGTCTGTCCCCAGCACTGCTGTCCCTCTCCTAACATCCCTGTCCCCACTGGCTCCTGGACCCTGGAGCTTTGGTGTATTAATCATAACAAGTTGGAAACTTTTCCTCAGCCATCTAATCATATTTCCTACATATGGAAGAATATAGGTTCCACAGGCACAGTTCTCTGGGCCTTCCAGATCCACAGAACACTACATTTTATGCTTTATCATGCATTTACTCATTCTTTCATATGTGTAGGGGTTCCACCTATCTGTAATCTTTAGCATATAGAAAAGGGCCTGGTGCATAGTAGATACTCAATAAATATTTGTTGAATGAATTAATTTGCTGAATGAATAAATCCAATATTATGGGATGTTTAAAAAGTTCTTACGCATTTTTTGTGTGTTCCTGGTTCATTTTGCACCTTTAAAGGCAATCTATTATAATGAGAAACAATTTAAGCCCAGTGGTTAATATGAATTCTGGAGATGAACAGCTTGGATTAGGATCCAGGTTCTGCCTTTTCATGCCTTGAGCAAGTTATTTAATCTCTCTGTGTCCCAATTTCCTTGGATATAAAAATGAAGATAATAAATGTACCTATCTTACAAGATTGCTATGAAGATTAAGTGCATCAATACATTTAACACATGGTGAGCACTTCATACATGCAACCTGGTGTTATTCTTCCTCTCAGTATTCCTAGATTT